TGGCGACATGACGTGAGGGTAGGAGATAGGTTTATTGTCAACAATTATGTTTCTTTGCTAAATTATTCAATAAATTATAACAGGATAAAATAGCAGAACGTCTATAAATTGTTTTTCTGAGAGTTCTGAGTTATCATTAAAGTCTCCTAATTTGTATCTAAATACCTACACAAGATGAGACTTCAGAGACGACTGTACAGATTCATTTAGCCTTCTTTCTTACATTGATCTGTTTTATCTTTCTTTGCCAAATAATTCAATAAAACATAATAACCTAGGCTATAGATGTATAACAGAATATCTTCAAATTGGAATATTTAGAGTTTAGGGTCCTCTTTAAAGTATCAACCTTTGTGAGTAAACCTGAATTAAATATTTAAAGGACCGTCAAACAACACTTTTTTGGATTAAATGCAGAGTGTCCCAATAAACATGAGATTTAAGGACGATTTCAGAGTTTTCTTCTATTTTCCTGTCATCCTGAAAAACAATGTGTTATTAAATCCTCTTGAGCTTTCCAAACTGTCGTCTTCCATTTGCATCTAAAAAAGCATCAATTAATTCCTTATAACTTTTTAATTATTTGGGATGTTCAATAAATAAGAATAAAATAAAAATCTTTATATTTCAATTAATATAAAAATCCAAGAAATTAGATCCTCTAAAAGCACTATATTCACTATTTTTATACAGTGAGAACCAGAAAACTGTGGAATAGGAAGACGACATTTAGCAATAATTACGTGTATTTAATGGTGTTACAAAGCAAATAGTTCTACTAGTAACGTATCTAATCACTTATTAACTAAAATGGGTCTGTTTACACTGCACAACTTTCGTGTCTCATGTTCAATGGACCATTTAAATTAAAGTCATAACTTTAGTCTAAAATTCGTCTGACTATTCCAGAGTTTTTTGGTTATCACCGTATATTGTCGCCATTGGGACACCCTTCTATACTAATTAGTATTCCTGACCATGGTTCCTTGTTTTGAGTTGTGTATACTGTATAGTATAGTGTATATTGTATAGTGTATAAAGTATGAATGCCGGAAGTATTTCTTATCAAATCAATATTTGAAAACAAAAAGAGAAGAAAAATATCAATACTAAAATCAACTCTATAGTGAAGCAAGAATGACAAAGGAAGTTCTTGCCATTCAAAACTGGATGTCAATCTTGACCATCCTGTCAATCTTGACGATCCTGTCAATCTTGACGATCCTGTCAATCTTGACGATCCTGTCAATCTTGACGATCCTGTCAATCTTGACAATCCTGTCAATATTGACGATCCTGTCAATCTTAACGATCCTGTCAACCTTGACGATCCTGTCAATCTTGACGATCCTTTCAATCTTGACTATCCTGTCAATCTTGACGATCCTGTCAATATTGTCGATTTTGGCAATCCTGACAATCCTGGCAAACGTGGCATTACTTGACGATCCTTGGCAATCTAACGAAAAACGAACATTTTTATTTCGTTTTACCCTCTTCCCTTTTTTTTTGCTGAGTTTGATAAACTTTTATTGAAAACAGTTTTAATATGTTGGGTTTGAACCTTCACAAGTTCACAGTATTTGTGTGTTAACTTTTAAAAGTTAATAACTTATAGACACCCAGACATTTGGACACGCAGACATATAGACACGCAGATGTCTGGACACGCAGACATATAGACACCCAGATTTCTGGACACCTGAGCTGAAAACTTTTGTATCGGATAACCTTATTCCTGATTGGTAAATCCCTTTCTGCTTAATTTTCTCTTTTGGATTTATCTGCTTTTTTGGACCAATGAGAATTCTCACATTGATTACGCGCCAAAATTTTGAAATTTCTTGGCTTCTGATTGGCCGTTTGGTTTCTACAATCAACACTCTGATTGGTTGCAGTTTAGACAATTTCTAGGATATTTGTGTAAGATAAAATTAGTTTGAAGATTAATAAAAAGAGGAGTTCAAGCATGGATCTCGATATCCACAATTTTAAAAATTCATGATCTGGACAAATAGACACGGCCAGACATTCTAATGACAAATGTACATATACAAACATGAATAAATTTCATGATATGCCTCACAATTGTTCATCCTCAAGCCGCATCAGAGAGTACTTTGCCGGTGAAGGAGGGATATAAGTTTGCAATTTTTTAATTACAATAATGTAAATTTTTCTCAGAAAGCTGAGTTTTTAACTATTATTTTTTAAATATTTAAAATTTTCAATATTCAAAAAATTTATCTAAATTAAAATCCCTTGACACAGGAAGTAGAGAAGTTATACTTAGTCCAGGGGGGTACACAGTACACTTAGTTCAGGGGGTTCATACTTAAACGCAATACTGAAGTGCACTTGATGTTACTACGAAGCCGATACCTTTACTTTTAACATATTAAATCAATTATTAAGTGAAATAGGTCTATTTACAGTTCACAGTACACACTTGCTCTGCCTTAAGTTTAATAGACTATTCAAAGTCAAAACTGGAGTCTAAAAGTCGACCCCATATTCCAGAGTTTTCTGGTTATCCCAGTTATCACTGTAATATAACACTTTTTTAAAGAAAAAACACTTAGTTTTCATATATGTTCAATAAAACTTTTTAAATGCTGATTGAATATATCTAAATCCATAAAAATTAACCCCGGGTTTAGAAAATTAATTAAATAAAAATATTTATATTGTTTTTAATTATGTGATAACAACAATATTTATTGAATGGAAACAGTTTGTGGTTTAGATAGATAATATCCTCTTTTAGATAATAGATATACATTCTTTAATTCTAATTTTATATAAAGAAAAAATAATGTTTATATTCATTTTAAAACTAATGTGTTTTTTATTTAAGTTTTCGAGTAGTAAAACTTTAGATTATCTTAAACTTTTTATTCTGTTTTTTTTATTTTTTTATTTCTGATCATTAAAAACAAACGTCAAACTTCATTCTTATTTTTAAGACTACCAAACGTTGAATCCTAAATAACAAAATATTAAATTGCAATAAAATAAAATGTTATTTGTGTTTTTTAGAAGTCCATATTTAAAAAAGGTAATTTCGTTTGTTTTAAATAACTTTTGAAATAATTTTTAGTTAACTTGTATTGTTTTTGGGTCATCATACACATCAAACTAAGCCTAGTGGGGGTAGGTCAAATAGGCTTGTAATAGCCCGGGTACTGTATAAAGTCTGGCCGCGTCATTAAAGTTGAAACCGAGCCGGCATAGGATAGTGTCAGACCGGTACTTGCCGCGCGTCACTAAGGGCGGTACAAGGGTTGGGTCCGGTTCTAATTCAAATTGACCTGAGTCCACCGTGCATATTATTACATTATTACATTATCTATAATAGCTAGTTAGTAAACAATACATTGTTGCATACGAAAGTTTTTTTTCTGAAAACATCCAAACAAAATTGCACGTTTTGTATTGTATTTACATTGCATGTATTCTATCGAATACCCCCCCCCCTGATTCTGAAGTAACGCCTAAATGCATAATAGGGAAGGGAGCGGAGTTATTAAAACTTGTTGCCCGAATTAAGAGGCGTGAAGAAGGGGGGTTCAAATTGAAAATGCTCCCTTGTGTCTAAAGTCTGAACGGGAGTCTTAAGAGTGCAAAGTTAAAAAAGTACATTTTCAGTTAAATTGAAGGAAAGACTTTTCTCAAATTGCCTTTTATTGTGTTGACGTGTTTTGGTATTTAGACTTGAATTTAAAATTATGAAATATATAAAGAAAGAGGTAAATTTTATCATATTGTAAAAAGATATGTTGCATAATTCAACCTATAACTATTGTAGGGGCCGAATTTAGTGAATTTAAACTGACTATACCTCCGGTTCAAATTTGAATCACCTTAATCTTAAACTTTGAATAGATGGTTCTTTGAATCGGCAGTATGTAGTTCCAGGCGCGCAACTAGACAAAAAATTAAGAATCTGAGCTTATATTGAAAAAATGTTATAGTTGAATTTTTGTTTGCTGAAAGAGTGAAGGTTTAAAAAAATACTTTGTGGGCATATTTTTTCAAATTTTCGAGAAGATAGCTATTTTTGGAACTACATATGAACCCCTATAAATGACTTCTTGCCCCCCCCCCCTACAGGGGGCAAACTTTATTTTTTTGGGGGGCGGGAATGCCCCCTTAATTAGGCTAGGAGAGGGCCTGGCCCCCATGGCCTTCCCTAGTTGCGCGCCTATGTAGTTCAGCGGCGTGGCTAAAATTCATTAAATTCGGTATCAGAAAAGTTTTTTTTTTAAATTGTTAATTGGCTAAAGCTCCTCCTGTTAAAATTTTTATATTCTAGTGTATAAAGTACAAAGGTCAAAACTTTTATATTGTTAATCCCTATAGCAAGTACTTATATGAATCTTTTTCATTAAACGAAATTAACTTTTTTTCTGTTGGACCATCTTGAAGAGGTCCATCTTCTCTATTTGAATGAAGAGATCGTAAAAATACGATTCAGCTGTTGTTTACTTGTTAATCACTTAATCGCTGCAAATTAAAAGTTTCCACCCTGGATCAAAAGTTCCGAATTCAAATTAGATATAAAAAAAACTAAAAAATAACATGTCTGAATCCTTGCCATGTATTAAATCTGTTCCTCTCCTGCGTTAATTGAACCGAAATGCAACGTTGTTAAAATTTAAATGAATGATTTTAAAGTTTTAATCAATTTAGAAAGGGATAGAATTAACTTTGCTTGTAATATTGTTCAAAGTACGTCTGCAGTAACTAATTAAGCCAACATTTTAAATCCATTTTTCTTGGTGCTGGAACATGTATTATATTATCAATTATAATTACTTTCGAAAAATGGGTTTGTGTCGTGGGGTCATTTTTATGATTTGAATCACTAGGTGTTGTCCTATTTAGTTTGAGCCTAAATTAAGTGAGTTAGGACGGATAAGGAAGGATAGAAAGAGGTTGGGAAGAGAAGATAGTGAGAGAGGGATGAATCCCTCCCGTCCGACCGTCTCTCTCTACTCAGTGTAGCCCAGTCCTACCTACTCCAAGTCTCCACTCTCCAGTCAGCACTGAGCGGTCTCTCTTGACGGGACTCCCGAAGTTAAGATCCCAAACCTTGCAGTTATATTATCAATCCCTAACCTCTCTCCCTGATTTAGCAACCCTCTCTCCCTCTCTTCACTAGATTTATAATGTCAGATAACGAGATTAAGGAAAGACGAGAACGTGATGTGGATTCAGGCAAAGACAAAACTTTTGAAAAATGTTCAACCATTGAAATAATAGAGATCAGCTGATATTATTTACCCAAGTTGGTTCAACCATCCCCCCCAAACTTACCTCTCTCTTCTTAGAAACCTGACTTAAGGTCACGGAAGGCGGGTTGATGGGGGGGAGGGGGTGAACTAAATCACGGAATCGTGATTTCTAACCTTAATTAATCAAAAGATATGTATTGAAAGATGTTGCATTTAATCTGACTTTGGTTTGCTTCATGTTTATCTTCTTTTTTCATGTCATTCTCATCATTTAATTCTCATCCTTCCCTACTCATCCTACTCTACTGATCCTTCCCCACTCATCCTTCCCTACTCATCCTTCCCTACTCACCCTTCCCTACTCACCCTTCACTACTCATTCTTCCCTACTCATCCTACTCTACTCATTTTTCCCCACTCATCCTTCCCTACTCATCCTTCCCTACTCATCCTTCCCTACTCATCCTTACCTATTCATCATTTCCTACTCATCCTTACCTACTCATCATTCCCTACTAATCCTTAGTACTCATCCTTCCCTACTCATAATTTAATTCTCATCCTTCCCTACTCATCCTACTCTAATCATTTTTCCCCACTCATCCTTTCCTACTCATCCTTCCCTACGCATCCTTCCCTATTCATCATTCCTACTCCTCCTTCCCTACTCATCCTTCCATTCTCATAATTCAATTCTCATCCTTCCCTACTCAATCCTTAGTGCTCATTCTATATATTCTTTCTCATCCTTTCCTTCAAATCCCTTCCTCCTCATCCTTCTCTTATACTCATTTTTTCCTTTCTCATTCCATCCTTTCTTTCTCATTCCATCCTTCTCAAATTTTCTAAAAGAATTTTCATCCAACCCTTTCTACATTCTTCACATTCTAACCGTTGTTTAGAATAATACTTCATTTACCTTCCGCCGCAAAAATTCCTTTAATTTTGTAAGCCTAGAATAAGAGGGTATTGTTGAAATATGACCCTGCAAAATGCTTTATGCAAGAATGCAGAAAAAGAAATAAAAGAAAAGCATAAAAAAATTGTAATCAAAAATTTTTCATTCAACATTTCTTGCTCATGTTTTTCTCCACATTGGATTTTTTTCATCTTTATTGAAACATTGCACATTAGTCATAAAATTGTAACACTTCATTTAAATGTTTTATTCGGAAATTTTCAATTTGGTGAAATATTAAAATTTTCTGCTTCATTCTCACTTCCGGTTTTATTGTTTTAATTTCTGCAATTACTCAACCCTGCTGAAAAATATGCAAAATTCATAAATCATACTCTGAATTCTTTTAAGACAAATCGGCTTGGTAATTTTTTTTAAATATTAAAAACCTTTAAAACACATTTATTTATCATTCATAAACCTTCCCTGTGGTCACGTGATGTCCCACAAAAAATTTGGGCCCGATCGGTTCAGCCTGTTTGACGTTTATTGGATACAAGCAAACAAACAGACAGACAAGCCAAATTTATATATAGATAATCCCCTGAAAACTTCAATGTACCCTATAAAATACTCTGTAAGTTACAATATATATCCAAATATTTTTAGGCATCATTTAAAAAACAGAGGATATCAATATCCAAGACAACTATTCTGTAATCTGTATATCCAGATTCTTTAAAATTTAAAAGCAACAAACAAGCTATGTCAGAATTTAAGCTGTCATTTTTTCTTCTATCAAAATCGGTATGAAATATTGAGAACAGTCACTTTAATAAAGTTTTATCACATGATCAGACTCCTCTGAGGACGAGGGTCCTCGTGACCTCGCCGAGGACAGGGATGAGGGTATAGAGGACAGCTCCCCAGAGGACAATGTTGAGGACAGCATAGCAACCTCCTCTTCCTCCTCCGGTCCTAAGGTAGAATATTTTTTATATGACCTCAAATGACCGGTCAAAATTAAAGAAAAATTATTTCCTTCAAGAAGTTTTGGAAATCTACATAAAATAGTCAACAGCAAAATTGTTAAATCTGCATTTTTTTGCACGAAGTAAATACGGTAAAATCCCCGAAATATGGAGAGCAAAGACACCTCATGGCCAAATAATTGCGTTTAAAGAACATTTTATGAAATATAAACTTTATGCTAATGCATTTATTTGTAGGTTGTAATATCTGAATGATTAATATAATGTTTTATTGAATTATTTACGATCTGAGCGGAATAATGCATACCCCCAGCCTATACCCCCTTTCATTTTTCGCAAACACTCCCTTTAAAGTAAAATTTATAATCTAAAAAGCTTCGAAAATTAAACTTTCAATGAAAAAGCAGACAAACAGAGATATATAAATACCATGATGAAAACAATGCTATAAAGCCCTCTCAAAAACGTAAATATTTTAAAACGGAGAAAGCTACTCTATGAAAAGCATGAAAAATTGAGAAGAAAAATATTGAATAAAAAAGTATTAACAAATAATTGTTTAAAACTCTAATTATTACGATTGGCGTACATGGACTCAAGGTTATTTTATTGTTTTATTTGTTTAAGTGAAACTTTTCAAAGATTGTCCGTTTAAATATTTTTGCAATTAGCAACATATGGTTCGTACCAAGGAGGCTTTAGACTCTTTAAACAGGAAAAAGAAAAAGATGAGAATTTACAGGGTCGTTGAGTACATTGCAAATAGTATTAAGATTAGAGAATGCATTTGTTGGGCGCAATTAAAGTAAAGTAAAGGGGAGGGTAGAGGGTTTGTTTACATATTACAGTGACGTTTTAATCAGCTCAAAAACTAGTTTTTTCATACATATACATTTTTCTCTGTTCTTTGGAATTATTATTATTCTCCGTTAAAAGCTTTAAAATTAAAAACTTAATATTTGTTCCTTGTATCCTTGAATCTTGTATGATTTGCTGCAAGTTATGGTTTTCACACACTTGAAAGAAATGTTCACACATCATTTGTTAAAACTGTAATAATTGGATCATCGTGAACTTCGGGTTTATATACATTGTAATGTGCCATTTTGATCGGCTTGAAGGAACTTGAAGGAAGGAACTGATTCACATAGATAATATTCAATCCTTTTTGATCAAGGTTGGTTCTTGAAAAAAAAACTCTTAAAAACTACCTTCGTGATGCAGAGAAATTTAACAACTTTCTCATATGGTTAATCAGATAGAGATTCAAAGGGTACTGTTGTAAATTGGACGTTCAACTCTTTAAATTTCGTCTATTTAAATTTTAAAAAAACAAATTTTGAGGACGTTAAGGGGTGCGGATAGTTTATCTTTTTTGTACTTTTAATAACTAAGATTGGTGTATGGTTGATATCAATTTTAATGTTATGTAAATATATATTTAATTTATGTATAGAGCCAATGGAAGGGGGAGGGATATTTAGATTGGGGATGAAAAATGGTTGAACCATATTGGGAGTGTCTTATCTATTGTTAATCTGATGAAAATGGTTTGAGAGGTCGTATGGACCTTTTGAATAGTTTTTAATATCTTTCTCAACAACTTTAAATCAGTTTAGGATTTGAATTATTTCTTGTTATGCTCGAAAAGATAGTTAATATAAATTTATAAAAGAAATGAGTCTTTGTCACAAACTATGGTTTTCTAATCTCTATATCTTTGTAACCCAATGCCGTAGAACTTAGATATTTCAAACTATGAATTCTGTTAGATGAAAAAATCTAGGTTTGAAATATCAAAGGTTTACACCATCAGGTGGAAGAAATTTAGGTATTGGAAAATTAGAGTTTGTTACAAAGACTCAATTCCTTTAAGGAATCTTTAGTTTAATTTTTGTAGGATTTTTGATTAATTAAATATCTTTTTTAAATGAATGGCAATATACGTACTTTTATTGTTCTGCGGGTCTAAATTTCCCTTTGACTCGCAGAACAAGGACTTAGAATTATGTTTACTTTCCCTTTAACGTTTAGATTATAATTATGGTTACTATCCCTTTAAGGTTTAAATTATAATTACGGTTACTTTTCCTTTAATGTTTAGATTAGAATTACGGTTACTATCCTTTTAAGGTTTGGATTAGAATTACGGTTACTATCCCTTTAAGGTTTAAATTATAATCACGGTTACTTTTCCTTTAATGTTCAGATTAGAATTACGGTTACTATCCCTTTCCTTTAATGTTTAGATTAGAATTACGGTTACTATCCTTTTAAGGTTTGGATTAGAATTACGGTTACTATCCCTTTAAGGTTTAAATTATAATCACGGTTACTTTTCCTTTAATGTTCAGATTAGAATTACGGTTACTATCCCTTTAAGGTTTAAATTATAATTACGGTTACTTTTCCTTTAATGTTTAGATTAGAATTACGGTTACTATCCATTTAAGGTTTGGATTAGAATTACGGTTACTATCCTTTAAGGTTTGGATTAAAATTACGGTTACTATCCCTTTAAGGTTTGGATTAGAATTAAGGTTACTATCCCTTTAAGGTTTGGATTATAATTACGGTTATTATCCTTTAAAGTTTGGATTATAATTACGGTTATTATCCCTTTAAGGTTTATATTATAATTACGGTTACCTTCCTTTAATGTTTAGATTAGAATTACGGTTACTATCCTTTTAAGGTTTGGATTAGAATTATGGTTACTATCCCTTTAAGGTTTAAATTATAATTACGGTTTCTTTTCCTTTAATGTTTAGATTAGAATTACGGTTACTATCCTTTTAAGGTTTGGATTAGAATTACGGTTACTATCCCTTTAAGGTTTAGATTATAATTACGGTTACTATCCCTTTAAGGTTTGGATTAGAATTACAGTTACTTTCCCTTTAAGGTTTGGATTAGAATTACGGTTACTATCCCTTTAAGGTTTAGATTATAATTACGGTTACTATCCCTTTAAGGTTTGGATTAAAATTACGGTTACTATCCCTTTAAGGTTTAGATTATAATTACGGCTACTATCCCTTTAAGGTTTGGATTAGAATTACGGTTGCTATCCCTTTAAGGTTTAGATTAGAATTTACTTGAATTCCGTGGGGTTACTGGAAATACCTATGGTTTTAAAACCAGCTGTGCCAAATTGTGGCAAAATGTGGCAATATGACAGGAAAACCTCAATTCTTTCATCTAAAAAATCCTCGAAATATTCAGGTTCATGCAGCTGTTGCCAAGGATGATACTGATGATAGTGAAGGAGAGAACGATGATGAAGATGAAATAAAACAAAAGAATCTACCAAGGGAACACGAAAAGGAGGAGATGAAGCAGGTTAGCAATATTTTATTACTTTTTATCTAAAAACTCAGATAAATACTGTATTTTGTTTCCCTCGGGAAGCTCTGGTTTTCCAGATTAAATCCTTACAACTGAAATTCATTCGTCAGGAGTTTTTCCTAGATCCCTTCGAGGAAGATGAAATTAGATATAACTGTGCATAGATGAAGGGGAGTGTGGAAGTTTTTGTAGGGGAAGGGGAATTGATACAGATAAAATGGAAAAGAGACGCATATGCTAATTTATATGCTAAAGAAAAAAATTACGTATATGCGTTTTTAAAATTGAAATTTATGCTTTTAAATAAAGATTTTTTTTAATAAAAGGCCCTTTTACTTTGAAGCTTAGTGTTAAGGGATTTATAGAGAAAGATTTGAATTAATCTTCTTATATTTGTTTTAAGCTTATTGGAAATGTTCAAATCATAAAAGTGTCACAATATGAATTCAATTTTCTACAGAACCCTGAGGCTTCATTCTAAATGCTTCATACGGAGATTTCGATGCCTTTAAGATACGTAGCTGGTCCATGGCATATATTGATAATTGAACTGAATTCCAGACATTGATAAGGAGGCAGGGGAGGGGTGGGGTTAAGGTCAGAAATTTGTAATAGTGATAGTCAGAACTAACTGAGATTCACTGAATCGAGAAATTAATGTGTAATTGATATTTTGATGAACGCAAATAAGATTATGTTTCCTGATTTGAAAAAAAACTTGGAATAACAAAAAAAAAAAATTTTCAATATAAAAGTTTGCAAGGCTTTAGGTTTATTCGAAGGTACAGTTTATACCTTTAAACATAAAATATGAATGTCAACCAGGTATTACATAAAATATGCGTGAAATATTTAATTCTGATCTGCCTCAAAACTACTTTACTGCCTGAAAACTACTTTACTGCCTGAAAACTACTTTACTGCCTGAAAACTACTTTACTGCCTGACTACTACTTTACTGCCTGAAATACTTTACTCTGCCTGAAAACTACTTTACTGCCTGAAAACTACTTTACTGCCTGAAAACTACTTTAATACCTGAAACTACTTTACTGCCTCAAAACTACTTTACTGCATGAAAACTACTTTACTGCCTAAAAACTACTTTACTGCCTGAAAGCTACTTTACTGCCTGAAAACTACTTTACTACCTGAAAACTACTTTACTCTGCCTGAAAACTACTTTACTGCATGAAAACTACTTTACTGCCTGAAAACTACTTTACTGTCAGAAAACTACTTTACTGCCTGAAAACTACTTTACTGCCTGAAAACTACTTTACTGCCTGAAAACTACTTTACTGTCAGAAAACTACTTTACTGCCTGAAAACTACTTTACTGCCTGAAAACTACTTTACTGCCTGAAAACTACTTTACTCAGCCTGAAAACTACTTCACTGCCTAAAAACTAAAATTTACTTAACTTACTCGTATTACAAGACAGAGAGAGAGCATGCGCTGCCTGTGCGAAACTCCTTTGGGCTTCTGACTCAGGGTTATTGTAAACGAAAAACCCCTAAATCTTGAAAAGATGACATCTAGTGTTCTATCTGTATTGTTATTAATCTATGAATTATAAAACCAGGTTTATGTGCAGAATGCAGAATGCACTTGTTGGGGAGGGGAAATATTGGGGAAGGGGGTGGGGAGTGGTTGCAGGGGTGGAGGTGAGGGGATAGTGAATGGTTTAGAACGTTAAAATTGTGAATATGATGAAGAAATATACTCTCAGTGCACGTCGTGTCTAACAAGCATCATCAATACTCATGTTTGTATCCAATTGATCCATCCCTATATCCAGCATACAAGTATTCAAGTATATATCCTATATGAGATTATCATGATATCCAATCATGCACATCCATGTATCCTGACACCTTGTATCCCTAAATCATTTCAACGTTGTAATCCTGTATCCCTGCATCCCTATATTTCAGTATCCCTGTTTTCCTATTTCCCTGTACCCCTGTATCTCTGTACCCCTGTATCCCTGTATCCTTGTATCTCTGTATCCCCGTATCCCTGTATCTCTGTATCCCTGTATCTCTGCAACATGTTGGATACGCTGTATCGGGGTCAATCCATTACAATTCTAAGATTTGACGTCCGTGGTTGCATCTCCGGGCAACATAAGATCAATATCAGCTGCTCCTAACCCAACCCTAGACCCCTACTCCCCCTACCCGGAGTAATCCCCCATCTATGCCGTCTCCAATCCTCAAATATATCCCTGTGCTAATGAAATGTGTCGAGATTTGAACAAATATCAGGTTTGATGTTGAAGAATCCAGCTACACATGGCATATGTTGCCTAAGCTAGGCGTCTAAAGAAATGTTTACACTTCTCAAATGTGTAATATTTTGAAGGATGCCTGTTTTTATTAGACTTTAACTTTCAAGCATTCTGAAATTTAAAATAAAAGACTTACATCGAGCATGTGTATTAAAAACTATTTTCAGAAATTGTTTTTTTTTTATCTTCTTCTTTTATCTTTTATATTGTTTAAGTATGAAGTTTGATATTTTCTTCATATATCAGTTATCTCTATGACTCATTTCTTCTAAAGGCATTTTAATGTAAAGATGGGGGAGGTGCCCCCCCCCCCCCNAATGCCTGGTTTAGGCCTCCCACTGTTATGATTCTAGATGCAAATGGTTGATGATAACAAATTACCTTCTTAAATTATCCCCCCTCCCTCTTTTATCATCCCTCCTCCTTCCCCCCCCCCTAAAACTATTACAGATCTCCCTGCCCTGGTATAGGAAGGTATGGAAGCTAGCCTGGAAGGTTCTGAGTATGGTTTGCATGTTTAAACTTGATTCAATTCTGTTCCAGTTTAGTTCCATTATCAGCAATTATATATTTAAAACCTGTGTAATTTTAAACCCCTCCCTCCAAACCCCTTTTATACCAGGTCCCACTCCCAAATTTTGCAACCTCCCCCTCCCTCCCTACATCTCCTGATGCAATATGCCTACATATACCCTACACCTAAAACACTACCTTGACACTAATTCTAGATGATTGAAATGAAATAAAAGGGTGGGAGTAAAACTAAACGGACTTTTAACTGGAAAGGAAGGCGGCTGGGAGCGGAGGGGGTGAGGCGGAAGGGAAACAGCTGGAAGTAGGGGGAGGAGGCGGAAAGAGGTGGAGGAAGGGAGAGGGGAATGTAAGGCGACTGGCAGCGAAAGGTGAGGCAAATGGGAGCTAAAGTGGAGGCGGAAGGGAGCTTGAGGAAGGGGTAGGTGAGGCTGAAGATAGCTAAGGGGAGAGGGAGTTGAGGCGGAAGTAGCGAAGAGGAGATAAAGTTAAGGCGGAGGAGAGGCGAAGGGTCTTAAATGAAAACTTTACAATGATCTTTTTTAAATTTAGGAAATATACGCTATTGTAAGGTATGTACCTATGTAGATTTAATAGTGGGTGCAGGGTGCATGAGTTTAGGAAGTCAGGTATAGGAATCAAAGCCTAGGGTTAGCTTGGATTAAGGTTAGGGTTAAAGAGCTTAACAGGAGGTATATGTAGAGAGGGGGGGGGGGNNNATAGAAGGATAGAAGGATAGTGACCCTCTGCCATCCTTCCTGGATGTTTCTCCCGGATCCCCGTTTTCTGACCTCTTCTTAATGTACTTTAAAGTTTTCTATTGTATCATCCCCTTTCTCTACTATTCTCTTAATCATTATTTTTTCTTCAAATTACAATACAATTTCCTTTCTTTAATTTCGTTTTCCCTTCTTAAATATTATTTTTTAACTTTCCTATTTGTTTTCCTTTCTATTCTGTAAATCTAACATTCTATTCTCGAGCACATACACATGTTAAATATTTAATAACTCATAAACTCAATGTTTACTTTTTCACAAAATTATATTTTTGAACATATTTTGTTGTTTTCTTCATTTGCTTATTAAAGATTTCCAAATGATAAAATATCGGTCAAAAATTAAAAATCAATCGATGGTCTAGGGTAATTTGTGGCACATTTTAATTTAATGCTTATGACAAAAAGTGTATTTCTATTATTGGTTTGGTTTGGCAGGTTATTAGAACTGTTTTGAGATGAAACAGACAAACTAATTAAGCATAGGAATACAAGGCTAACAGACATTGATGCATTGGTGCATAGATGAGTCATACCTCACTAGTGATTAAGGATGGCTAATTGATGGGGGGGGGGGGGTAATCAGGGATGTGTGATTAACTGTGTATATTAACTGTGTATTTTATTGTATGAAACATACAATTGTGATAATTAATCACAATTCACAATGAGTGTACTTTGAATGTCTTTAAAGAGAATGGATTAGAAACAATATTGGGTTCATTTCCTCTTAAATTATCTGATAAGAGTTGTTCTAAGGTTTACAGATTTTTATTAGGAGATACAGATGGTTAGGACTTCTAGGAGTTGGTTAGGAGTTGGAATCCTAGTAGTTGATTTGGAGTAGGACTCCTCGGTGTTGATTAGGAGTAGGACTCCTAGGAGTTGATTAGCAGTAGGACTTCTAGGAGTTGATTAGGAGTAGGACTCCTAGGAGTGATTAGCAGTAGGACTTCTAGGAGTTGATTAGGAGTAGGACTCCTAGGAGTTGATTAGGAGTAGGACTCCTAGGAGTTGATTAGCAGTAGGACTTCTAGGAGTTGATTAGGAGTAGGACTCCTAGGAGCTGATAAGCAGTAGGATTTCTAGGAGTTGATTAGCAGTAGGACTCCTGGGTGTTGATTAGGAGTAGGACTCCTCGGTGTTGATTAGGAGTAGGACTCCTCGGTGTTGATTAGGAGTAGGATTTCTAGGAGATGATTAGGAGTAGGACTCCTAGGAGATGATTAGGAGTAGGACTCCTAGGAGATGACTAGGAGTAGGACTCCTAGAAGTTAATAAGGAGTAGGAATAGTATAGTTGATTGATGGCCAAATGAGATAATGCAATAAATTCATTGCAAACTATTTGACGTGTTAAACACTTATCCTCTTGCAAACATGATAAGTCCC